TATGTGTCTGTTTTATGTGTCAGTACCATACTCTTAATGATTACAGCTTTGTAGTATAACTTCAAATCTGGAATTGTGATACCTCCAGTTTTGTTTTCTTTTTCAAGATTGTTTTTGGCTATTTGGGGTTTCTGTGGTTCCATACAAATTTTAAGATTGTTTGTTCTAGTTCTTTGAAATATGTGGTTGGTATTTTGATAGGCATTTCATTACATCTGTACATTGCTTTGGGTAATAGGGACATTTTAACAATATTTGTTCTTCTAATCCGTGAGTATGGAATACCTTCCCATATGTTTGTGTTGTCTTCAATTTCTTTCATCAGGGTTTTAGTTTTCAGAGTACAGGTCTTTCATGAAACTCTTCGGTTAAGTTTATTCCTAGGTATTTTATTTTTCGTGCAACTGTAGGTGGTGTTATTTTTTCATTTCTCTTTCTGTTGCATTATTATTAGTGTATAGAAATGCAACAGATACCTGTATATTGATTTTGTATCCTGTGGTCTTACTGAATTCATTTATCCCTTCTAATAGTTTTGGGGGGCAATTTTTAGGTATATATAATATCATGTTGACTGCAAACAGTGAAAGGTTTATTTCTTCCTTGCCAGTTTGGATGCCTTTTCTTCCTTTTCCTTGTCTGATTGCTGCATCTAGGACTTCCAGTATGAAAGTATAAAAGTGGTGAGAGTGGACATCCTTGTCTTATTCCTGACCTTAGGAAAAAGCTGTTTTTCACCACTGAGGATGATGTTAATTGAGGGTTTTTCATATATGGCCTTTCTTATGTTGAGGTATAGTTCCCTCTAAACCTACTTTTTTGGAGGTGTTTTTTTTTAAGATTATTTATTTGTATGTTCATTCATTCATTCATTCATTCATGAGAGACACAGAGAGAGAATGAGGTGGAGATATAGGCAGAGGGAGAAGTAGGCTCCATGCTGGGAGCCTGATGTAGGACTTGATCCTGAGACTCCAGAATCATGCCCTGGGCGGAAGGCACTCAACTCCTGAGCCACCCAGGCATCCCTGTTGGAGGGTTTTTATCCTGAATGGATGTTGTACTTAATCAGATTCTTTTTCTGCATCTGTTGAAATGATCATATGGTTTTTATCCTTTCACTTGCTGATGTGATCTATCATGTGGTTGATTTACAAATATTGAACTACTCTTGCATCCCAGGAATAAATCCCACTTGATTGTGGCGAGTTTTTAAAAATATATCGTTGGATTCAGTTAGCTAATATTTTGTTGATTTTTGTGGCTATGTTCATCAGAAATCTTGGCCTGTAGTTCTTTTTATTTACTTATTTTTTTGGTAGTGTCTTTATCTGGTTTTGATATAAAGGTAATACTGGCCTCACAGAATGAATGTGTAAGCTTTCCTTCCTCTTCTGTTTTTTGGAATAGTTTGAGAAGAACAGGTATTAGCTTTTCTTTAAATGTTTGGTAGAATTGACCTGTGAAACCATCTGGTCTTGGACTTTTGTTTCTTGGGAATTTTTTGATTATTGATTTAATTTCATTTCTGGTAATTGGGCCATTCAAATTTTCTATTTGTTCCTGACTCAGGTTTTGAAGGTTATATGTTTCTAGAAATTTATCTATTTCTTCTAGGCTATTCAATTTGTTGACATATGTTTTCATAATATTCTCTTACAATCCTTTGTATTTCTGTGGTGTCATTATTTCTCCCTTTCATTTTGGAATTTTTTTATTTTCAGCTTGTCTTTCCTTTTTTTGTTGAATCTGGTGGTTTATCAGTGTTGATCTTTTCAAATAAGTAGCTTCTCTTTTATTTTTTTTAAGTATTTTGTTTATTTCTGCTCTAATCTTTATTTCCTTCCTTCTACTGGTTTCGGGTTTTGTTTGTTCTTTTTCTAGCTCCTCTAGGTATATGGTTAGGTTCTTTATTTGAGATTTTTTTTTCATGTTGAAGTAGGCCTGTGTTACTATAAACTACCTTCATAGAACAGCTTTTGCTGCATCCCAAAGATTTTGGAGTGTTTTTTCATTTTCACTTGTCTTCCTGTATTTTTTTATTTCCTCTGAATTTTTGGTTGACACATTCATAGTTTAGTTTACATGTTATTTAACCTCCTTGTATTTGTATTCTTTCTAGATTTTTTTCTTAAGGTTGATTTTTATTTTCATAGTGTTGTGGTTAGATAAGATACATGGAATGATTTCAGTATCTTTGAATTTGTTGAGACTTGATTTGTGGCCTAATATTGGATCTCTTAATGCAGAATGTTCCATGTGCACTCAAAAAGAATATGTATTCTGCTGTTTTAGGATGGAATGTTCTGAATATATACATCTGTTCCACTGTGTCATTCAAAGCCACTGTTTCCTTCTATTTCCATTTGGATGATCTTTCCAGTGACGTAAGTGGGGTGTTAAAGTCCCCTCCCTACCAAAAAATAATAATAAAAAAAATAAAGTCCCCTCCTATTATTGTACTACTATCAGTTACTTCCTTTATGTTTGTTATTAACTGCTTTAGTATTTGGGTGCTCCCATGTTTGGTGCATAAATATTTCAATTGTTATATCTTCATGTTGGACTGTCCCCTGTCCTTCCTTGTGTCTTCTTGTTACAGCCTTGGGTTTAAAGTCTGTTTTATCTGATACAAGTATTGCTAGTTGGGCTTTTTTTCACATCTCTTTGCATGTTAAATGCTTCTCCATCCCTTCACTTTCAATCTGCATGTGTCTCTAGGTCTGAAATGAGTCTTTTGAAGGCAGCATGCTTCGAGTCTTTGAAAATTTTTTTATCCATTCTGTCACCTTATGATTAGAGTTTTTGTTTTTGTTTTTTTTTTTTTTTTTCACTTTGAATATACCATGCTACTGTCTTCAGGCCTGTGAAGTTTCTGCTGAAATATTAGCTGATAACCTTATGGGGCTTTCCTTGCAAGCAACTATTTTCTCTTATTGCTTTTAAAACTCTCTCTTTATCACTACTTTTTGCCATTTTAATAACCATGTGCCATGGTGGACTGCTTAGGGTTAATTTTGTTGGGGAATCTCTGTGCCTCCTGGATCTGGATTTGTTTCTTTCTCCAGGTTTGGGAAGCTTTTAGCTATTACTTCTTCACATAAATTTTCTGCTCTGTTTTCTTTCTCTTCTTCTTCTGAAGTCCTTTTAATGAAAATGTTATTATACTTGATCATGTCTCTGAGTTCCCTATTTTCATTTTGTATCAGTTTTTTCCCTCTTACCTGTTCAGCTTGATTGCTTTCCAATAGTCTGCCATCCAGGTCACTGATCTGTTTATCTCTTCAGTTTATTTATTGCATAATTTTAAAGAGACCTTTAGTTTCTTTAGTGTATTTTTAATTTCAGTTATTGATTTCTTCATCTCTTATTGTTTCTTTTTTGTTCTCTGTCTTGTTGTCAAGAGTCTCACTGAGGTCTTCCACACAAGTCCAGTGAGTCTCTTTATGATCATAATTTTAAATTCTCTTTTAGACCCATTATTTACTTAACATTTTGCCTAGGTTTCTTGCTGTGGTTTTGTCCTGTTCTTTCATTTGGGATATGTCTTCTCATTTCATCTGAGTATCCTTGTCTGTTTCTGTGTTTTATAAAGGCAGCTCTGTCTCTTGCTCTTGAAAGTAGTGGCCTTATAAAGAGATCTTGTACTGTCCTGCTGTGCAGTGTCTCCTGTTCGCTAGAACCTGGCACTTGGGGGATGTCTCTCCCGTATGTGTTGTGTGTGCCCTGTTTTTGTGGCTGAGCTGATGCTGCCTTCAGTTTAGTCATCTGCAGTGGCTCTTTGCTTATTGTGGACAATGTTTGGTTACTGTGCTTAGTGGGCCAGTCTGGGCCACTTTGAGCTTGAGTTGTGTCAGACTAAGTGTTTGCCACAGATGCAGTAGTACTGAACTGCAGGGCTCTTTCTGTGTTGTCCCCAGAGAGGCTTTTGTTGGTGGGTTGAGCCTGTAGTCAGGCCCACTGTCTACCCCCAGTCCTTTGCTGGAGCCACAGTCTGACTGCTGTGTGTGGTTATCTTTCCCTCTCCCTGGGGCAGGAGTCACTTTGGAGTGGTGCTGGCCCCTGTGAGGGCTGCTCTCACACTGCCAGGCTTGTGGCACTGCTTTAGGTGGATCAGGTCAATGTGTATTAGAGGGGATGGGGACAAGTTGTCAGCAAAGTTGATGCTGGTCTGCTGTGGAAGGAGACCTGAATCAGAGGCCTGTCGGAAGGGGACGTGTCTGCAGAAGAATGCAGGGATGGGGCTCATTTTTAGGCAGTTAGTGTTGGTAGCTTTGGTTGGGAGGCTGGGGAGGGAAGGGGCTCTTTTGTGTTTCTTGAAGTCTCCCAAGGATCCCTGCCCCTACAGCACGTGCTCTGAGGTCAGTAAACAAATCTCCCTCCTGTATACCTCAGGGGATTTTCAAGCTGCTGCCTTTATGCTGTATCTCTGTGGGGCTGTTTATTGGGCTCTCTAAGGGCAGGGATTCATTTTCTTTTTAACCCTCCCAGCTCTCCCTGAGCTGAGCCCACTGATTTTTAAAGTTCCAGGTTTTAAGTCCTGATGGTTGTAAAAACTCACACTGTTCAGCCCCTCTGGTTTTCAAAGCCAGATGTTATGGGGTTTCTTCTTTCCCCTGTGGGATCCCTGTGTGAATCTGTTTCATTCCCCTCTCTGTAACTGTGATGTCCCTCCCTCCATGGACAGTCTGGTTGTTCCCGTTAGCTCTGGACTCTGTCTCTGCCCTTCCTACACTCCCTGATGTGGCCTCTTCTCTACATTTAGCTGTGGAGAGTTTGTTCTGTCAGTGCTCAGGTTGTTTTCTGGATTATGTACACAGATGTGTGTTATCCGGTTGTATACATGGGGTGAGGTGAGCTTAGAATCCTCTGACTCTGTTGTCTTCCCCAGAAATCTGGATGGCTTTTTTAAAAAGGGCCAGTTTATCAGGTTTCTCTCTATAGTTAATGTAACTGCCAGTTATGCATGTTATGTTTATTAAGTGTGTTGATAAAGAAACTCTACTATCTAGCAACTTGAGGGCTTTTCTGTTGTCACCTGCAGATTCCCTGAGACTTCTGATTAAACGTTAGAAATAAAGGTAATCTGTTTATCTTTGATTTCTAAAAGTACAGCTGCCTTGGAGATCTGGGACTTCCACGCCTGTGGTACATGCCTCTGACAAGACTTCGGTGTCTTCTGGTTACTTGCCCAGTAAATCCTTCTGGTAGGAAAAAGGCTTCTTAAAGCACATAGAAAGGTATTTGTCTACCTCACCTGGAGTTTTTAAAATTGTATTTTACAAAGTTGAGTAAGCTTACTAGGTTTCCAGTCTGGTATATAAGAGCTTGAAAGGTCATACTCCATTGTAATAACAAGCAAAAAGGTGAACAAACTGAAAATAAACAACTTTTCACGAAAAGTGAGGTCACAGGGCAAATCACTGCCCCTATTATTGGAGACAAAGAGGAAGACACAGAATCACAACTTACCTAAGCAGAAAGTCAAGGGCAGAAACCTCAGTGGGAACCAGTGCCAGGGTAGGAAACCTAAACTAACTGATGGATTGATCAAGGCTCAGTGTAGACAAGTCTGAGAGCCAAACATTCCAGAAAGGTATAGTCATAGTGAGGCTTACACTTTGAGTTTTATTTCTAGGAGCTCTACCAGGTTCTAAGAGTGAAGATTAGAGAAAGATCCTCTGAGGCATCTAGGAGGGGGAAAAAGGAAGCAATTGTAAATAGGCCAGAGCAAGCTATTCTTAACAAGGCCTGTTCTCAAGAGAAAGTACGTTACCAGAGCTTAACCTGATTAGGTTTTATCAGAGTCTAATTGACCTGTGGGAATGGAAGTACCTAACTCTAGCTCCTTCTAGCCATCCTGTCCCACCTAAGGGGAAGAAAAAACAAAGTTTTGTGTGAAGTTTATTTATATCCCAGGGACATAGGCTCATTATGAATGAAACCTACTGATAGGATTATGGGATAATTCCTCTCCCACAATTTACCGCTATATTACTAAAGGCCTATTTACTGGCCTATTTACCTTTTACCTACTACATTATCTCCAGGTTTCTACAAAAAATTATCGAAGCATACTAAAAGCATACTAAAAAGCATACTTTGAAGAGACAACAAACATCAGAACCAGATTCAGATACAGTTATGTTTGAAATGATCAGACTCTGAATAATTATTTAAGATTCTAATGGAAAAAGTAGACAACATGAAAGAACAAATAGGTTATGTGAGCAGAAAGATGGAAATTCTAAGAAAAAAACATGATAGAGATAAACATTGTAATAGTAACAAAACATGCCTTTTATTGGTTCATTAGTAGATTGGACATAGTCCAGCTCAGGAAATAATCTCTGAACCTGATGATATGTCAGTAGAAACTTTTAAAACTGAGATGCCTGGGTGGCTCAACAGTTGGGCGTCTGCCTTTGGCTCAGGGTGTGATTCCAGAAGCCTGGAATTGAGTCCCACGTTAGGCTCCCCACAGGGAACCCACTTCTCCCTTTGCCTATGTCTCTGACTCTCTGTGTCTCTCATGAATAAATAAATAAAAATCTTAAAAAAAGAGAATCTTATAAAAATTAAAAAGCAAAGAGGAAAAAGATTTTTAAAAAATTGAACAGACTATCCAAGAACTGTGGGATGAGTTCAAAAGTTATACATTTAGAAGGATACTAGAATGATAAGAGAAGGGATAGAAGAAATATTGTAAGTCATAAGGACTGAGAATTTCCCCATATTAAAGTCGGATAACAAACCAAGAATCTAGGAAGCTCAGGTAAATGCTAAAAAACCCCCACAAACCCCAAAAATTCCAACTACACCCAGGCGTTTCATATTCAAGTTGTGGAAAACAAAAGATGAAAAGTCTTGAAGTAGGCTGGAGGAAAAAAACATCTTACAGAGCAAAAATGAACATTATATCTCAGAAACCAAAGTAAGCAAGAATAGTAGAGTGAAATATCTGAAATATTTCACCCTTGAATTCAGGATCCTTCAAAATTATCCTTCTAAACTGACAGACTTTTCTCAGACAAAAATCAAGGGAATTTGTTGTCAGTTAGACCTGCCTTACAAGCAATGTTAAAACAAGAAAAGTTCTTCAGAAATAAAGTGATATAGACCAGAAACTTGGATCTGTATAAAGAAAAGAGCATTAGAGAAAGAATGAGGTTAGAGGAGCTTTTATTTTTCTTGTATTGTTTAAAAGTTTTTTTTTTTTTAAAATTAGAGCATGAGTGGGGAGAGGGGCAGAGCAAGAGGGAGCAGCAGACTCCAAGCTGAGCAGGGAGCCCAACGTGAGGCTCAATCCCAGGACCCTGAGATCATGACCTGAGCCAAAGGCAGATGCTTAACCAACTGAGCCACCCAGGTGCCCCAGTTTTTCCTATTTTTGACTGAACAGATACCAGTTTGTTTAAAATAAGAGCAAAAGCAACAATGTATCCAATGTATAGCTTATATACAAGTGAAATGACACCAGTGACACAAAGGACAGGATGAAAGAATTAGGAATATTTGACTTTTCTATACTCGCACTACCCGTGAAATAGTATTATTTGAAAGTGGACTTGGATTAGTTGTATACGCACATTGCAAACTCTAGGAACCATTAAAAAAACTGAAAAAACTATAATTGATACACTAAGAGAGGAATGGAATCAAATAATAGGCTCAATGATAACCACAAAAACAGAAAAAGTAGAAAACAAATAGGGATAGAGAACAAAGGCAATGAATAGAAAACAGTAACAAATATGGTAGAATTTCATCACCTTAAATGTTAGTGGTCTAAATATACCAATAAGAACCATATTGTCAGTAGATCAAAAATAAGGCCCAACTCTATGTTGTCTTTAAGAAACTCAGGTTAAATACAAAGACACATGCAGATGAAAGGGATGGAGAAAGATATGATATACCATGCTAACACTGATCAAAAGAAAGTTTGAGTAGTTCTATTAATTTCAGAGAGAGCAGACTTCAGAGCAGGGAAGCTTAATAGGATCCTGTGGGTTGATTTGTAAGTGTAAATTTTGGCATGTTTTTGGAAATTACTGATTATTTTAGACTTTAAATTCCAACCCTTTCACATTTACCTCTAAATGTTACTGTCAGTTTTATCCAGTAGTTATGTTTTAGTTTGTAAGTCCATAACCAGTGACCCTGCAAGGAAAAAAAAAAAGTACAAACATTTTCAGGTGGATGCAGTTACAAAATTTTCCATGGTAAAGTTCATTGTAAAATAAAGAAGTTCTTCTTGTTAAAAAGGATTTTGATACATACTGACCTGTCCTATTTAAGTTACTTTACTTCCTGTGACTCAGTTATTTCCTCATCCATACAATAATGCTATTTTTCATACAGGGTTTTGTGAAGATAGGATAAAAGAGTATATATAAAGTGTATAGCATATAAGTATATTTTTACTCTATAATGTAGAAATAGAATAAGCATGCAAATTCCGCCCCAATGTGTTATCCTAATATTTAATGATTTTTATTAGATTTTCTCCTCCTTTAATAGGAGTTAGGAAACCAGATTTATCATCCAAATGTGTTTATGTGAATACACATGCCTTCATGTACCATATGGAATTTGCTGTTTGAAACAGCTCTGCTATAGAGAGATTGATTTATCAAACATGCTCTTTGATATTAGCCTGGTACCATGGTTTTATTATTTTATTTTATTTTATTTTATTTTATTTTATTTTATTTTATTTTATTTTATTTATTTATTTTATTATTTCATTTTATTTTATTTTATTTTTAATTTTTTTTTTTAATTTATGAAAGACACAGAGAGGTAGAGACACAGGCAGAGCGAGGAGCAGGCTCCCTGAGGGGAGCCGGATGTGGGACTCCATCACAGGACCCCAGGATCATGCCCTGAGCTGAAGGCAGCCGCTCAACCACTAAGCCACCCAGAAGTCCCACTATGGTATCATTTTAATCTTTTTTTTTTTTTCCAGCTCAGTTAAAACTCCCCACTGCTCCTTTGTAGATCACAGAAGCACCTGAGATGCATGCATCCATCTATTCTTTAACTATTAACCGAGCACATGTTCTATGCTAGGCACTGTACTAGAGAGTCAGTTGCAAATAATGCAAATAATGCAATGAGAGCAATTCCCTGCTCTCATTCAGTGTATATTCTCATGGGAGAAACAGACAAGAAATAAGAAAAATGATTTTCAAATAGTGATAAATACTAGGAAGAAAACAGGGTTACATGATGTATTGGGGAGGAAGCGAGTGATTATATAGTCAAGACAGGCTCTCAGAGATGATTTTGAGCTGAAACCTGAATGACAAGAAGGAATGAGGCACAAATAATAGGGCAACATGCATGCCAGACAGATGTAACACCACATGCAAAGGCCCCGAGGTGGAAATGACTTGGCTTCATGAATTCCTAAGTAACTTGCATATAAATTCACTCAGTTTATTATTCACTAGATGAGCTCTCCATTTGTAAGAAAGTGCAGCTGATTCCTTTTTAACGTGATGATTTCAAAAATCGAATGCAGTGTTTCTTGCACTATTGTGTGCTTAAGAATTATCTGGAGAGTTTGTTATGATACAGTTCCCTGATTTAAAAAAGCTGAAACATAAAAACTTATGAATTTTAAAAAACTTATGAAAACAGAGAGTAGAATGGTGGTTACCAGAGGCAGGGGACTGGGGAGGGTTGGGGGGATGTTGTTTAGGGGTATAAGCTTAGAATAGGCAAGTCCTGGAGAGCTAATGCACTATATAGTGATTACAGATAACATTGTATTAATGAACTTCAGAATTGCTAAGAGACCAGAATGTTTACCACAAAAAAAGAAATGATAATTATGTGATGTGGTAGAGGTATTAGCTAACAAACACTATGGTGGTAAACATTTTGCCATATATGCAGCAAACCAGTGCATTGTATACCTTAGAGTGTTATATTTCAATGAAAAAATATGTAGTTTCCTGGACTATATCCACGTGTGGCCCACTGATGTGCATGTGTAGCACCTCACAGATGATGCCAGTGCTTCTAGTTTGAGGACCACACTTTGAGAACCACTGTTGTAGCAAATATGTTTTGGGTTTAGTACCCATTTGCTAGAATATTTTCTTGCATGTAAAATATTAACGTACTCTGCATGCTGATCATAAGAAACTAGTTTTTGTAAGTGTAGTGGGAAAACGTATGAAATATTAAAGGAAAAAAATAGCATCAATGTTTCATATTGAATTCATAGTGTTTATAATAGCTTAATTTCAGTATAGCCACTTAGTGAAAGGTTATTGTCATTTTTCATTTGGAAAGAATGTTTTTAAAAAAATATTTATTTATTTTTGAGGAAGAGCAAGATCAAGTGTAAGTGCATGAGTAGGGGCAAGGGCAGAGGCAAAGAATCTTTTCAGGCAGACTCCCGACTGGGTGAGGAGCCTGACGTGGGCTCCATCTTATGACCACGAGATCATGACTTGAACCAAAACCAAGAGTCTGGTGCTCAATTGACTGAGCCATCCAGGCGCTGCCCTCCTCTTCTCTTCTTAAAGCATTTGGAGGGATTTCAAAAATTATTTTTTAAATGCTGAAAGGAATGTAAATGATAGGTTACTGAGAGAGATTCTAAAATTATTTTTGTTTCTTGATTCAGAGATCACATACATAGAAATTGCGTATTAAGTCCCATTAATCTGGAGACTAGGAGAAGGTTGTGCTTTTCATCAACTGTGCCATTCAGGAGGGTGCTCAGAAGAAGGAGGTAGAGACAGGAAGAAGTTCATCAGGCTAGTGAGCCCTATCAGCTCAAACTATTTTGGTCAGCAGGAGCTTCGCTTGCTGCAGTCATACATCCTATATGACATATGTCAAGCCCATGTGCTCCTCCTAGTAGTTGTTCCCAGGAAAGGAATTTACAAGCACATTGCTTGGGCTTTCAACAGTGTAACCTTAGCAGCCTCAGGGATGGCATGTGGATGATGACGCTAAGAATAGCCAACAGTTATCCACTTATGTGCTATTGCTCTAAGTGCTTTACATGATTAACTGATATAACCCCCTAAACACATATATGAGGTAGATAGTAACAACTCTACTTTATACAGGAAGCGAGGCTAAGTCAGTAATTTAGATTACCAGGCAGTAAGAAAAGCTGGGATTCAAAGGTGGCAATTTGTGTTCATTCTGATTCCTTAAGCAATGTACTATATAGTGCTTCATATTTGGAGAAAAATCCCCATATCAAAGGTTTTCAGAATTTGTGTCTGCAGACCTGCATTGTGTCTGCATACCTTTTAAGTTACAACACAGGAATTCCACAATGTCTGTTTTGTAATCTTTCTGCCTAGGTCAGACCAGAAGACATTCCAAATAATGAGAGAGAGAGGAGGAGACTATTGGTGCAGTCCACACAGTTTTGTACCACTTGCTATTGTGTTATATTGGGCAAATCATCAAAATGTTCTGAACTTAAGTTCAGGACTCATAAAAGCCTACAATGTTTACTCCACAGGATTAGATAGTTAAATGAGGACTTTGACTACTGATTCAAATATGTACTGCAATATTTAGGTATTCTGGCAAGTACACCCTTTATGCATAATTTATGGGATTTTTCTTGGGTCATTATGATGGTAGGCTTTTGACCTTACCTGCTGGATTGGAATCCTTGGTTAAATGCAACTCCATCTTTTTTTTTTTTTTTTAAAGCAGGAGAAAATCAAATTTAGTTTTGTGTGCATGGAAAAGCCACCTAGACATGAGACTCCTTCCAAGGTAAGCCTTTGGATGATAAGTGGATCTGTTGTCTTCATGGGATCTCCTCAGGCTGTTTCTACAGCTGGGCTCAAAATGGTACACCCTAACTGTGAAGATAAATCTAACAGCTGCCGAGATGAGACAATAGGTAATTCTCACTAATAAAAGCTAGTTAGGGCAAAATGGCAATGGAGAGCAATAGAGTTCCAAAAGGAATGGTCAACTGGTCACCCAGCAGGTATTTTGTTTTTATTTACAAAGCAAATAAAACAATTTTTGTCAACCCAACATAATGGTTTATGTCACATCTGGTTTTGACAACCAGAAATAATATTTCAAGGGTTCCTAAGCACTTAATTTCAAAGTCTTTTATTTACTAGTGAGGATAATTCATTGGAACAATTTTTAGGTATTATATATATATTTTTTAATTTTTATTTACTTATGATAGTCACAGAGAGAGAGGCAGAGACACAGGCAGAGGGAGAAGCAGTCTCCATGCACCGGGAGCCCGATGTGGGATTCGATCCAGGGTCTCCAGGATCGCACCCTGGGCCAAAGGCAGGCGCCAAACCGCTGCGCCACCCAGGGATCCCGGTATTATATATTTTTAAAGATGACTTTACCAATGATCAAGAGGTAAAATGTCATTAAAATGAGTAGGATTGCATAAATACATAGAGGTAACTACTTTTTGTAGATGCCTTTACTATGCAATCTAGATCCTGAAATTAAAGGAAGAGATTAGAAGAAATACAAAAGTGCAAGAGAGGTAAATGACTAATGAATTGTCATAACTTTTATTTGATTATTTTCATTTACAGTTCTGGCACTGACACTTTTTTTAAAAAAAGATTTTAATTTTATGTAAAGATTGAACTTCAATAAAATAACTTAAAAAATTTACATATACATCACTAAATTTCCATAAAATATACAATACTTTTGATACAGCTTATAGGCTAGAATGACTTTGAAGGAAATGATACATATTCATAATTTTTAAGAGATATCCCACATGTCACATGTAAGAATAAATATTTATATTGAATTTTCCAAGACATGTGAAGTATTAAATACTATATAACATGCACTCAAAGTAAAATATACATTTTGAAATACATATTTTAAAAGCATAAAACTTTTGATTTAATCTAGATGTACATTAGAGCTTCTAAATAGAAATTTGAACATTTATTACAAATAAAGTTACTATAACATCAAATGAGATATAGTCCAAAGGCCACTGGGAACCAGTTTGGACATGTAGAATATAAAGTTCTACTTTGGCTAGAGTTAAGTCTCATCTTTTTTAACCTTCAAATGAGATGGAATGATGTTAAATTTACTAAAATTTTAAAACTTTACAAAATATCAGTTAATTTTAAGTACTTGTAAACTGCATTCCTTTTTCTCATACTGATATGACAAAAATCAAACACATGAACTTAACTGTGTAAAGTAAAAATATGAATATCACTGCTAAATGAAAGTAGTTACTGAACATTCCACAGACCCAATCACTCAAGTGCAACAGAGTGTTTTATACATATAAACTCAAGATTTATAGGAAATATATTGTTTTACACTCACAGGCAAATTATAAGGGTAAAGTTCTCTTTTGTACTTCAGAACACCATTAACCTTTTATCAAATCTCTTTTTGATGATTGGCACACCAATATTTCCCTCTTTCAAAGACAAAGTAAATGGGTTGGTAGCAGTTAGCTGTTTGGCATTTTTAAATGATTGCTATTTCCAGAAAAAGGCAATATTTCTCACCCAGAACTGAATGTCCTGATAACTGATGTGTTGCCGCCACCTGATAACTTCATCAAATTAGCTTAACATTACTGTACAAGAAGCTAGGAAAACTGATAGAAAGTGACAGAAAACACGACATTAAAATTAATCCAGAGAAGAATTCTGAGTCTCTTCATAGGCAGCAGCTATGCATGCGCTATACATTTTATCCACTAGTTAACAGATTTTGCTGTAGAGCACATGTTATGAATGCTCTGCTGTCATTCTTTTATTTGTGGTTAGTAAGAGGATATAAACTGAAAACCTGTTGTAAAACTGTATGGTGCTTAGTATAATTTGATATTTTGTAACCAGGAGACTGGTAAAATAAATAAATAAATAAAAATCTCATTAGTTTAATCTTAATTCCTGTGCCAATGAAATATAACAATCCTTCCACTCCCCCTCACTGTATTACAGTATTTATAAACTATATTAGTGTCATTAAGTTGTGAGACTTTCTTAGGTAAGATATGGATAGTATTTTTTAGAATATGCTCCCCCTGGAATCTATGATTATAATACATTACAATCTTTCCAAGCAAAAGGATAAGTTGTCAATTTATATTTTTCCTGTTCATTCTTACTCTGGATAATAGATTTTGAAATGATAGTAAACAACTTCTAACTTCTTTAATGGAATTCTCATTTCAGAGTGAATAACTTAAAAATAATATTTAGACTCTCATATACTAAAATCTAGTTCAGTGGTAAAATAAAATTATGAAAAAGCACTTGACAGCATTTCTGTCATAGCATTTTCCATTAGGGAACTAATTAGTACATATGACTAGGAACAAAATTTCAAATGGAAATAAATATTACCTTTAAAATTTAGCTTTAATTTCAATCTTTTATAAATATATTAAAAATCATGTTTTGGGTAATAAGGTATAATAGTAACAATTATTAGGAATGTTTATATTGAAGAGAAATATTAATATCAAATCTTCAAAAATTTATCTGATATCACATTCATCCCTATGTGTTCAGATGCAGATGAAGCATTATATTCTCTTTAGTTTACAGCAGATCTCATCAGCCACCAAGCTAAGCCTCAAATAGGGTTTATAACTTTCTTTACTACGTACTCCTAAAACATATCTCTATTGAATTTGCAGCATGCTTAGGAGGAGACCTTAATTTCAATTAAAAGCATGATGCTTAATCTGTTTTAATATGGTAGGCCAAATCATACCATATATAAATTGTACTAAAAAATATATATTTGATGATATTTCAAATGGAATGTTTTCAAGTTGATAGTGGTAGTCAATGATGCTGAAACTTAAAAGGTACGTAATATAAAAAAAACTGCAAAATTCAAACACTTAATTTTTAATATACTATAAATGTTCACCAAATCTAAAAATAATACTCTAATTGTATAAGGTTTCTTTTTAAGTAGTTATTTTTTAAAAAATTATAAATAATCTTTATACTGTGCCACTCTGTCTTGTACTTCAAAGATATGGAATATTGTCTCTATCATTATATAAATTACAAATAGACCTTTAAAGGAGAGGTTGGGGAGAAGAGGGGAGGAGAACTGTGGCTAATTTTCCCTGTTATTATGTGCATTTATGGATATAAAGTTGAATATACCATTTGCTTTATGTCAGGGAGAACAGGCCATGTTCTGCTTTAGGAAATAATAAAAGTCCAGTTGCTCCTTTAATAAAGTTACTGTGCATTCAGCCCAGCTGAGTATATAAGCATACAGTTAAGGCTATGTATACAATAAAGAGAAGAATCGAGGCAATTATTTATTTGGATAAATCAGAAAAATAACAGTTTTAGAGAGCACTTTATTGGTCTAGATACTTTTTCTTCCCATCATCTTTTGATTTTACCACATAATAGCTCATTTTCCACTTCACTTTACCTGTGTGAAGTATTACACAGATAAAAAAATTCTTATGGGATAAGAAATATCAATAATTTTCTCTATTAAATCACATCTGCTTTTCTGGGGAAAAGAATCAATATCCCCTTAGAAGTCAATTGTCAAAGCAGCTAATTCAGGGAAAAAAACGCTCTAAATTTTTTTTGCCTTTCATGTATGAAATGATCAAAGGGAGAAAACTTTTTTTCTTTTTTTTTTTTGGCTGAAGGATTTTTAGACCAGTAAAATGACAGTTCAAACACTTATACTCCTGGCGGCTAAGAGAACAAACCTTTTTGGCTACATTCTCAGTTTTGATAATAGTGATAGAATAAGCCAGACTTCAAGTGAAGAACAAAACATCTTGGAGACTGGCAGAAACACATTAACTTTAGAAATAGTCTTCTTTTCACTCCAAAGAGTACCTTAGTAGATTTGGAGCCACATTAAAATCCATCAAACTTATATATTCCTATCTGGCCACAGAAAATTCATTCCTATTTTCACTGGAATTAGCAAATAATTTTGTATATTCTGTATAATTCTTAAGAGCAAAAGCTAGAGTTCGTTGAATGGGCATAAAAACTAATGAATATTTTGAAAAGACATTGTAGAAATGTATGCTATGTTAGAACCATTAATCTGTTCCAATAGAAAAATCCCAATTTTTAGACAAGAAGGAAAAAATCCAAGCCAAGTATGAGAAAAAGGAAACACCCACAGACAAATCTATGTATCTTTTTTTTTTTTTTTTGGCAAACTGTCAAGGAAAATGAGAAAAAGGTGTGCAAAATAAAAACAAATTTATGATCTTAAAAAAAAAAACAGTACTTTTAAGTATTGAAATGTTACAATTCCCTTAATAAAAAGTTAAGGAAAAAATAAGTCCCACTATTTAATTAAACATCAATAACAGGATTATCTGTCACTGATTTTCTTCCCTTTTCGTTTCAGGAATTATTTGATTAAAAGAAGGGGAAAAATAGTCTGCTAGCAGCTATTTATATTAACAGAAATGAAGGCACAAATAGTAGGACTCTAGAGTCAATGAGTGAAGGCGTGGTTATATTCAGGTGATTTTGGCATGAACAGAAACCCTGAAATACAGTTGAAGATCTGGTGCTATTTTGTGTTTAGTTATATACCTAACTGACTAACTCAAATCAGGTATCCATAAATTTTTTTTCTTTCTTACTTTCTAGCAATAAAATATACTTATCAAAACTTGCTAGCTTATCTGTGCAAATGTATACTTATCACCGATGCAAAAAATATGTACGAAAATAAACCCTAAAGACCTGCTTTTCATAATGTTCAAAAGGTCCTATGTAGAGTCAGTTTCTGAAGAACACTCAAGATCTAACTTGGAGAGAGAGACCAAAATGTGGAATCGAAAGGAGAAAAGGACAACTGTGCCTCTGTGGAGGCACTTCTGAATTTGTTGAAAGCTTAAATGGAATTTACTTTCTAAGTGCTGATCAGAGATAAGCTACTTGTCCTTAGAAAAATTTAGGGCCAATAGGGCATGTTTTGACAGAAAACATCCTTGGATCTTATCCCAGAATCCTCCTTCATAAGTATATCATACATATACGATTAAGTTAGATTAGCACTGACTCTACTGCCACTAATAATTATATATGGTCTTAGGAAAAAAGTATACCACTGAAGTCACTGGATACAATATTCATTTTAGACTACCTCAGGAAGGAATTACATACATTTGTTCAATAATTATTCATTTAAAATCTCTAAATATTGTTTTACATTTCTGCTTGTGAAAAAAAAAGTCATCATGGTTGTATCTTCTTCCTAATCAAATATTCTAGAATATGAGGTCATTCAAAACTAGACTGTGGAAAGAACCAGATTAAAAGCAGGGCAGTGAGGTCACCAATTGCTGCTTTTGTCCTCCAGGTTTGTTTAAATACCTAAATTTATCAGCAGCTGAAAATTATTCCACATCAGAAGCATCGTTATCAGAAAGATGATAGTTACTTCCCTTCACCCGAATATATTCAATATATCGCCCTTCATCAGAATCTGAAGCACCACATGTACATAACCTGTTGTCAAAGAGTGATTCAATTTCCTCTAATTTCTTCCCTTTGGTCTCAGGAAGACAGCCATAGATGAAAAGGAGTCCCACACCAGCGAATCCAGCATACAGGAAGAAGGCTCCTGCAATGGAAAATAATACATTATTTGTATGTATAGTACTAGGTTGGAAAGGGTACTTTATTTTGACTTTTCTTTTGGGTCAATCATGCATAACTGTGGTCTGACACGGAATCAAAAAATAACTATTGGGATCTCTGGGTGGCGCAGCGGTTTGGCGCCTGCCTTTGGCCCAGGGCGCGATCCTAGAGACCCGGGATCGAATCCCACGTCGGGCTCCCGGTGCATGGAGCCTGCTTCTCCCTCTGCCTGTGCCTCTGCCTCTCTCTCTCTCTCTCCATCATAAATAAATAAAAATAAAAAAAATAACTACTGACCTGCTTTACTCTTATTGTTCTGGGTCTGTGAACATAATACAGTTTATCTTTCTAAGCTCAAGTCATGTCATGCCTAACTCAAGAAGAATGATAAGCTGGATTCAGATATAACTTCTGCTTTCAAGTGGTTCCTCACTTCCCTGGCTAGAGATCACTGATCTCTCCTGTGTACTTTTACAGCGCTTTGCTGAGGTCCCCATCATAATAACCAAGAAATACAATTGTGTGTGTGAACTGATGTCTCTCTTGCCTACTAGACTGGTGGTACTTTGAGGGAAAAATTTCTTTCTTATTTATTTTATATTCCTAGAATCACATATAGTGATGCTACTGCTGAATTCATGCCTCAGTGGAGTACATGGACAAAGTCTAGGAGTCAACCTTAACTTTTTTCTTATTCTCCTACTGTCCAATCTGTCAGGAGATCCTGTTGGATCTACCTTCAAAGTACCAAAAGTGACCACTTTTTGCTATTCCACTGGTATCTTTCTGGTTTAGGGCCATTCTCTCTCATCTGCACTACTGCAGTAGTCTTTTAACTAATCCCCTATTCCTTCTCGTAGACCACTAAGGTCCACTTTTTTTTTTTTTTTTTGGTCTGTAGCACTTCTCACCATCTGACATACCATAAAGCTTATGAATTTGTTTTTGCTTCCTTTGTCTAGAATGAAGTTCCAAGAGCTAGGAGAATGTTGTTTTGCTGTAAGACTATGCATGCCAGTGTAGCATAAATACAAAGACCTTAGTAGTACCTGGTTGTGTTTTCTAAGTGTCAATACAGCAAGGCTAGATGGAGGAGATATATGTGACTTAGGTATATTTTCTACATATTTCCAAGATGGTCTTTCCAGTAATCTAATTCTCAATTTAAATATAAGAACCTAACTATAATGAAGTTCCTAATTTGGGGCCTTCAATCTGGATCATTCCTGGTGAAGGTGACAAACTAAAGTGACAAATGGCTGCAGAAAGGCTATCAGATTGGGAGTTGGAATATCTGAGTTTAAATCTTGCTGACTTCCAGCCATTTAACCTCCTCTCTGTGCCTAAGTTTCCATATCAAGTAAAAAAAAGGTGGTTTTTCAGCTCCTATTTAAGTTTATAATTCTATAAATTTTACTACTCAAATCAGGAGCCGGTATAGGAGAGATGTCAGGAGATGCTTGAGAGGGAGATATGCTCTTGTGTTTCAGTGTCAAAACTGATCTCCTTGAGGGCTGTTTATAGGCCTTGTTTGTGTTTGGATTCCCAATGCCTACAATGGTACCTGACTCACTGGAGAATCTAGAAATAAATGTGCTCTTGTTGACTGCCAGATGGAATACACTGGGTAAACAGATCTGAAATAAAGGGCTAAAACTAGACAACATAAAGACATATTTCAAAATTAAGCTTTAAGCAAAATAGCATAGGAGTTAAAGAACTGAATAATATTTCTCAGTTCTGTTGAATCATTACAGAATGGAAAAGACCTTATTGGGACTTTTTTTTTTTTTTTTAAAGAGAGGGTGCATATGTGAGCATGGGGAGGGATAGAGGATGAGAGAGAGGATCTCAAGCAGACTTCCTGCTGAGTGTGGAGCCCAACTGGGGGTTTGATCCCCCAACCCTGAGATTATGATTTGAGCCAAAACCAAGAATTGGAAGTTCAGCCAACTGAGTCACCCAGGTGCTCCAAGACTGCTTTCTTGAAGACATGCCTATAAGTAACCACTTCAGGAATATCCACAGAAACATTTCTTGGGAAAGCTCAAGGAAAACTATGGAGGAAAAATGCTGTTCAATTGGCCACATAAAAGAATCTGCTCTGGAATGAAGAGTCATGAGAAAACAGAAGAGAAAAAGAGGTAAACTATGAGATTTTGAAAAAATATGGAAAGGTTAATTAAATCATGACATAGTTTGTTAGATTAAGTCATCAGAAGCCATACAACTTTAAGGAGCTAGACTTCTAAAACCAAATTCTTGGTTTAAAAACACAACTCCAGTTGCAAATGTATACAGGGGTCCTTTGTTTGGTTGGTTGATGTTCTACTTCATAAAAGCTTGTATATATTTTTTATGTCTTATACTTGGTAAATAATCAGAAAATATGGGCAGCCCAGGTGGCTCAGTGGTTTAGCACCGCCTTTGCCCCCAGGGTGTGATGCTGGAGACCTGGGATCAAGTCCCATGTCGGGCTCCCTGCAGGGAGCCTGCTTCTCCCTCTGCCTGTGTGTCTCTGCCTCTCTCTCTCCTCTCTGTGCTTCTAATGAATAAATAAAATCTTTAAAAAAAATCAGAAAATAGTACTAGGTCATCTGGGATACATGGCTGAGTGTTACAGTGAGAGGAAAGGCCCATGGTCTGTAGAATGTGTGGATCTGAAAGTCACAAGGTGATGCAGGCAGACTTCTGGGGCAGTTTCTTAAATTCTCTTGACCTTGGTTTCCTCATCTGTTTAATGATAAAAATAACAGCTGCCCTGCCCAACTGCAAAGAAGAGATATAATATGTTACATGCCTATTAGAATTCTGGAGGTTGGTTGCCCAAAAAAGAAATGTGTTACCAATTTAGCTAAATGACTAGGGATGAAGGGATGCTATTAGAGATGGAACAGAATGACATTAGTAGGACTTAAAAATTGGTAAGGTTTTCATGAAAAAGGTGATACCGATAAGCTAGGTCTTGGATAATGTGAGAATTTAGGGGAAAAAATGAAAGGTGATAAAGTCCTGTGTTTGATAGATTAGAAAGATTCTTAAAAGGCCATACAGCTTTGTGCTTGTGACCCAGATTCCCAAGCCAAGTAACATCGAGGAAATTCTATTAAAATTATAAGACTCTATTATAGGATCTGAAGAATGTAAAGCAGACAAATACCAAAACTTCCTAAGTGGGCTCCACTAGAGAGACCTGTGGTTAAGCTACAGAAGCAGGGTCCAGCTGAGGGTGGGTGGTGGTGGGTGGGTGGTGGTGGTGCTGTGACCTGCTCCAAGTAATGGCCAAGTTAATTATGTATACTTATTTCTCCTTGGAATGAAAGTGAAAAAAAAAAATGTCTGTAAAGAGACTGTCATGACTGTTAAGTGCAGATATGCCTCAGCTTTATTCTAAAGGAAATAAGTCTTACTAGAGTTGTATATTGTTTCAGATTTAAACAAATATTTAATTGAATTATACAAAATGAGGAATCAAAGACCATTGTGACTGAATTTCGGTATCTCAGTACAGGAGCTTCAATACAATGCTTTCCAAAGGATCTATTTAGTAGATTCAGTATTTAGCACTCACAGTGCTAGTAAAATGGCATACTGGTGACAGTTTTTAGTAATAAACATTACTGAATGAGATCTAAGGCAAACAGTATAGTTTAGAAAAGGAAACAAAATTTGAGGTTTTATGATACAAGAAAGGAGGAAATAAAAGAAGACTTGTGTATTTCAAGAGAAATACTTCATTTTGGTATACGTTTGTTAAATAAGGAATAGAAACACGTATCTTAACATAAACCAGTAACGTGTAGATTAAAATTGAGCTCCAAAAACAGGGAAAAAACTTCATCTGAACTTAAATATTGTTCCACTACTAGCAAGCATAGACCTAATGGACCCAGTGTGCTGACATAATAGAAGCCCAGCTTAATGCAAAGCAAAAGCTGCTTCTAACTGGATAGTTCTTTATTATATATAAAATATATATTTAAATGGAAGCACAGTTGACACAATTTATTAGTTTCAGGTGTGCAACAGTGATTCAACCATTCTATATCTTATGCTGCACTCACATGTCTAAGCTGCCATCTGTCACCATACAGCGCTATTACAGTATCATTGACCATATGCCCTATGCTGTTCTTTTTATCTCCGTGACTTACTCATTCCATCACTGGAAGCCTGTACCTCCTATCACCCATTTTGCCCACCTCTCCCATCCCCCCCGCCCTGGCAATCGCCACTGTTCTAACTGGATATTTTTGAAAGAAGCCTGGCTATGCCCTGTTTAAAATTTATTTCTGTTTCCTCATGTTGTTTGGGCAGCACAAATTTGAGAGAGGAGTTTGGTAATAAAAGAAGTCTTCCCTTGCAGACTTTTGGTGTGTGACTTAATAAAAAATAACTTTCTCAGGATGTTAGTCTATATTTAGGCTTTTAAATATTTAAGAATTCTCCAAAACAAACAAAAAAAAGTGAAGCATTCTCAAGATTTAGCAAATATGGGTTAATATTTATCATGCAAATATTTATGGTGTCAAAATGATAAGTTTCTGAATTTATGTAAAAAGCTTTAAGTGCCAAGGGGTTAAAACTGAATATATGAAATATGTCCCCTGTTTAAAATTCCAGTGTATTTCCTTTTTTTAATAAAATGTTTCTAAATGTTTATATGTTTATTGGGAGAAACAAGAGTTTTATAAAGATAATAAAAATAAATACCAACACAGTATGTTTGGAAGAGAGAGGAGGAATAGATTCGTATAATGTTTCCTCATATTCAAAATTCTTCTGCATATTTATTCATTTGAAAAACATTTCTGAGTGCTTATTCAAAGCACAGGATGCCCTAAAAGGCATTGGGAATATTACGGTGAACAAGGCCTCAATCTTGGCCTGAGCTCCAAAGATTTATGGTCCAACTGTGAGGGGTGTGTGTGTGTGTGCTTAAAAGAAGGAATTATAAGTGTCCAAAGCATGGGATGAGGTGGGGTGAGTGATGGGGTAGGGGTCAGAGAATGGTATAAGCAAGAGACACTCCATATACACAGAGACTTCTGGGGAGATGAGAAAAAAAAACCCTCACATTTCATCATTTAGAATCTAATCACAAACATAAACTCATGCATATAATGAAGAAATTCTCTTACTAAAGAGAAAATCTTTTCATTTTAGTAAAAATGGACTTGAAGTAGCTTCTCGAAGTTTCTTCGTGACTCAGCCACTTCCTAATATTGTTTTCAGTTATGGCCCACACATTTTCACGTAAACACTTCTTCTGTCGGGTTTATGCAGTGGGAAGTGCCACTCTGAGTGGATGCTAAAATTAACATGCCATGGCCTGAACAGCACAGATGATATAGCGGAAGGCATAAATCGCAGCATGGCCTTTGCGGGAGCTGCTTGGATGTGACCCCATCTCCGTAATAAGACATCTTCAAACATTAGCCCTTAGGTTCCCTGCCTTGCATCATTTCTACCCTTCTCTGTTGTTCATGTTTCTACATTAAACTCAAAGCACTGCTGTGGAGATTTCCAACTGTGGAGACAGCTGGGAGATGTATGGGTGAAGGCTATAAAGCACCGAGGGACAAGGAGCAAGGCTGCTCAGGAAAGGAGAATGCCTCTGATCTTTCCCAAGTATTTTCAAGGCCTTTGGGGAATGAGAAAGCCACACAGAGATGCTTATAACAGCAAAAATACAACTATCTACACTCTGCAACACAAATGTTGGCATATATAAAAAGAGGAGGAAAGATAAAAGAGGAAACTATAGATGGGGATAATATTCTCTTACCATAGTATGTAAGATACTCTGCTGTGTGTAAAAATGTCAGTGAAACCAAGACGTTGAAAATCCAATTTATTCCAGATGAACATGCATTTCCTGTACTTCTTGCCCAAAGGGGATATATTTCAGAATTCACAGTCCAAGGCATTGGTCCCATTCCTGAGAAAAATATAAAACTAAAAATTTCAGTAAAGTAGTTTATAAGGAATTTGAAAAAGTAGTTTGTCTCCTCTGAAAAGAGGCACTTTAATTAACACAACACAAAGCCTTTGTTTACCAGGTGCGAAGAAAACAAGATACAAAATAAGGCCCAGAAGTGCAGTCCAGGAGTATGGTGTAGGGCAGAAATTGTAAGCCCAAAATACTTCTTCTGTCTTAAATTTGGTTTCATTCTCACACCTGAAAAATAATGCAATAGAAGTATTAATGTTTTAGGGTATAATCACAGAAACTCAATGTGCTCATCTTGGATATATTTCAAAGTTGCTTAAAATCATTAAGGAAAAGGTCCAAGATGTTTTTCTTGAAAAAAAAAAAGATTTAAATATACAGTATTACCTATAAAGCTCCCATTAGAACATTTTAGATCTGAATATAACTCAAGAGAAACAAAAAGAAATATACTCCGTGTACACCTCAATAGCAAAACCCCAAACAATCCAATTCAAAAATGGTCAAGGGGGTGCATCTTGGGTGGTTCAGTTAGTTGAGTGTCTGACTCTTGGTTTCAGCTCAGGTCATGATCTCAGGGTGGTGGGAATGAGCTGTGTGCATCTGGCTCAGTGCTCAATGGGGAGTCCACTAGAGATTCTCTCCCCCTCCCTCCTATCCCCAGTCTCTCTCTCACTAAAAATAAATAAATCTTAAAAAAAATGGTCAGAGGATCTAAATGGACAATTTCCTAAAGAAAGAAGACATATACATGGTCAACAGATACATGAAAAGGGTCAACATCAATCAATAGGGAAATGCGAATCAAAACCATAATGGAGAGTAGCCTGGGTGGCTCAGTGGTTTAGCGCCGCCTTCAGCCCAGGGCCTGATCCTGGGGTCCCAGGATCAAGTCCCACATCAGGCTCCCGGCATGAAGCCTGCTTCTCCTCCCTCTGCCTGTGTCTCTGCCTCTCTCTCTGCATCTCTGTCTCTCATGAATAAATAAAAACTTAAAAAAAACCATAATGGAATATCACTTCTCATCTGTTAGAATGGTTACTGTCAAAAAGATACACAATGAGTGTTGGTGGGGATGTGGAGAATGTGGAACAACTAATGAGAATGTATATTGGTGCAGCCACTATAGAAAACAGGATGGAGGTTCCTCAAAAAACTAAAAACAAAACTACTATATGATTTGGCAATCCAAATTCAGGTATTTATCAGAAGAAAAACACTAACTTGAAAAGGTATATCCACCTGCGTGTTCACTGCAGCATTATTTACAATAGAACTTGAAAGCAACCTATTTGTCCACTGATGAATAAAAATGTGGTGTGTGCACCCAACCATACACCCACCCACGAACACACGCTCACATGAATATTATTCATTCTTAAAAAAGAAGGAATTTCTGCCATTTGTAATAATATGGATAGACCTTCAGGGCATTATGCTAAGTGAAATAAGAGAAAGACAAATACCATATGATCTTGTATGTACAATCTAAATAAAAATACTGAGCTCATAGAACAGATTTGTAGTTCCTCGGGCATGGAGTTTGGAGGATTGAAATGGGTCAAAGTAAAACTTCCAGTTAAAAAATAATTCATGGAAGGTGATGAATGGCATGGCGACTACAGTTAATACTGCACCGCATGTCTGAAAGTGGTTAAGAGAGTAAATAGGCCTTAAAAGGTCTCATGACAAGAAACATTTGTAAATAATGTATGATGACGGATGTTTAATGCCAAATCATGTGGCACACCTGAAACTAAGACAATGTTATGGGTTAATTATACCTCAATAAAGAAAAACCCCATTGTGTCTTATACCCACTTCACGTAAGTCAGATATGCTTTCCAGCTAATCCTTGCAAGCTACTGTGACACTTTAAGACCACCGTGAGTCGGTATGTTGTGGGAGAAAGACCTCAGAATTTATAGTCAGGACAAGATTCAAATTCCCAAACCAAATTTTTTTTCCCCCATCTGTAAAATGAGGAGAATGCCTTACAGGTAATTTTAAGGATTAGAAGGGTCACTTGTAAAAAGTTGAGAGCGTAGATGTGGGCAGGGAACACTGCTTCTAGCTGGTGCCAGCTGACACTTTCCCTTCCTGCTGTGTGTCCTTGCCTACATCTCAGTCCCTCTCTGATGACTCTGCCTCCTGGTTCTATTGTGAAACAAAGTCTCCTCTGGTCTTAGACTCTGGACAAGCTGAACTTCCAATTCTTTACCTTAATGGAAACTGGAATTTCCCATGAAGACACAGCCAGCCCCAAAACCTTCTTGCCCTCACCGTCATCTTTAGACGAGTGTTCTGCCTCTGTGGCCTTCATGTCTGAACCTTAACGTCTAGGCCCCGTCCTTGCTGCTCTATTTATGCCCTCGATCACAACATCCCACCTTGTCTTCCCTGCTCGGTCATATTCTCCACCCCCTCACATCCTCTGCCACAGTTACTTATTTTTACTTCTGGCCCATGTAATACTTTGGCCTCGCAGTTCTTTATTTAGCCTCGGAAGCTGCAGAGAGGGCACTTTATAGTTTGCATGATTTGGAACTATTTTACTTCAAGGTCTCAGATTTAGAGCATCTCTTTTTCTGATCACAAGCAGTTTATTTCCTCATTTCTGGTAACTTCCTCCACATCCAAATCACAATCTTTAGATTCTAAACTCCTCTCAGTATTCACTTACCCTCATCACTCAGTGTAGACCGGTGCCAGTACTCTTTGCTGGCCTCTAGGATCCACCCTCCGTTCCACCGTGTGTAACTGCCATCCTCACTATGTCAGTTTCCAACCCTGTGCGGCACCGTGTAGCTGCCTTTGATTACCACTGGGCTAACCTTTGGTCAACTGTTGAATCAATTGATTAAAATATTTGTTACTATCTCTCACACCGAAGTCTTTCACTCTTTCTCACTACTGTCAACTTGGGTCCTTCTTTAGGAGAAAATTGAGGATGTTTGGTTTGAACATCCTCAAGTTTACTCTACCGAACCTGTTTTTCGGTATTCCTCGCAGGGCTCCTCTCCTACACCTCCACTGGTAACACGGCTCTTGCCTTTTCTAAGGACCTGCACGTCCTTCTCCTCCTGTCTCCGCTGGGCTCACCTTCCATCAGCAGTCTCTCTTTTCTCTTTCTGCCGTTGCCAGCTTCTTCCGACTTGCACCTCCCCTTCTGTTTATAACACACAAGACTGTTGCTACTCAACCATTCAGCCCTCTCATGTTTGTTCCACTACTAGTTCATCTGCAATTACAGAGAAGTTTAGGCTGGGGAACTCTACATCCTCATGGCCCACTCTTCCCTTCACAGCCCAGCTCCCCCATCCCCCTACAGACCAGCTGACTCTGGCTCTGTTTTCCTGAATCTGCACCCCCAAAAGTCAGACCTCCTCACCTCCAAATTAATTTATTTTGCTGTTTCTTTGATGACTGGTGGTTGATATTGCTGACAAACTCTTTTCTTCTCTTCCCCCTTTGTTTTTTTTGCAGTTATATCTATTTTCTCTCTCTGATGTATATGTCTTCACTGCTTTTTAAAGGGTCTCTTCCTCCCCTCAACCTCTACATATAAGTGTTTTCTAAGGTTCTTTTGTAGGGTTTGTCCCTGGTCTCTTAAACAGCTCATCAAATTTTATTTTATTATTATTTTTTTTTTTTAAAGAAAGGCAGACTGCCACACACAGTGCCTCATTTGGATGTGTCTGGAGTCTTGGAAGCTTGACTATCCTACATTCTACAAACTGAGCCTGAGAGCTTGTTTGGAGGTGCTAACGGGTGTGAAGCTTCTCATAAACCTTTGATGGAAGAAGAGTTCTCTATCTGGGAAGGTCATCCTCTTTGAGTACACAACTACAGAAGGGATGCACATGGAGGAGCAAGGAAGGGGACACCTGACTACCCAGCTAGGTCAGCCGAATCTACCCTGGTGATCAGTGGGGGGACAGGTTTCACTGCTAGATCACCTTCATACCTATCTCATCTAATTTTATAGATTTCTAATCAGCATGTGGATGGTGCCTGGTAGTTTATTCTAGTGTTCACTCTTTTCTTATGTTCCACTGATGGGATATAGGTATCTGCTGAATATCCACTATTATCACATGCTGTTGGAACATTAAATGTATAAAGCATCCTGACTGCTTAGCACACTGCCCGGCATGTAGCCTATGTGTGCACAGTAAGTATCAGTGTAATAGTGCCTCTCATGACACTTCTGTTTTTGATAAACCACCATTCCCGGAGTTGAAACAGGTTAAACTCTTGCAGTTATTTTCAATATTTTCTTACCCATCTCTCTCTTTAAATTCTCTAAACCTTTTTATGTCCAAGTGAAAAAGAGTAGCTAAGGCTATGAGCTCTGGGACTGACATCCCATGTTCAAGTCTAGGTTGGGATACCCAGATTTGAAGCTGGGATATATGTGACCTACTTACTTAACTTTTCAAAGCCTGGTCCTCCTCTGTGAAATAAGGATTTTCCTTGCACCTACCTCAAATACCTCAAATAGTTATTTTGAGGCTTACATGAGATACATATGCAAAGAACTTCACATGGAATGGGTAAGAATTCCTAATTATACTGGGCAGCCCCGGTGGCTCAGTGGTTTCGCACTACCATCGGCCCGGGGCGTGATCCTGGAGACCCAGGATCGAGTCCCACGTCGGGCTCCCTGCATGGAGCCTGCTTCTCCCTCTGCCTGTGTCTCTGCCTCTTTGTGTGTGTCTCTCATGAATAAATAAATCTTTAAAAAATAGAATTCATAATTATATTACCTAGACATAATTTCTTGAATCTGACTCTTCTATTTGCATTATTACCACCCCCATTCAAACTGTTTGTTTCGTCAACTGCATTTGTCTCCTTAGCAGACTCTAGAGTAGCCTCTTGTGATCCATTTCCATGTCCATACTCTTTTTTTCCAGTCCTCTCTCCTTGAGTGTAGAAGTGACCTGTGACTTGTTTCTAACAAAATTTGGCAAAAGTGACATATGTAAGATGATGATTATGTAAGATGACACTGCTGTTTTGCTGAAGTCTCTCACACCCTTACTGGCTTTGAAAAAGTAAAATTGTCACATTGTGGGATGCCAGTGTTGGGATGCTCATGGAAGGAACTGAAAGAAGTCTTTAGGACCTGGGGATAGCTTCTGATTGACAGCAAGAAACTGAAGTTCTTGGTACAAAAGTTACGGAATTCTGCTAACAAAATCTTCCCTAGTGGAGCCTCAGAT